TCATAGTTTTATTTTTGAAATACACCAATTTTTATCTACTGTAGAAAAAAACGAAAATAAATCGTATAATGTAAATTTGCAAAGAAAACAGCATGTGCATCAAACTAAACTATTTAAAGCAGTGCAATTTGAGTTCTAAGCATCCCAGAAACTATTCAGAAAAGGATGAAGTAAAACATGACTTTTAAAAACACCACTATAGGCTTACAAGGCCTATATGTAAAAAAAACGACATTTTCCGCGAAACGATGTCACTTCCAATTTTGGGCAGGTAATGGCGGACATGCGATAGTTCTCTCTGACGTCTATGTCAATGTAGGACGTGTTATGACCAGCTGATCGGATCGGCAAAGCGGCAAACTGTGACCTAGGACAAGCTGATGGCATAAGATGTAAGTACAACTACTCCAGTTTCATATGCAAAAAAAAATTATTGTGCTAGCTTACGTGGTTTCGGTTCTACAGGGATTTAAAAATAGTTACACAAAACGCAGCGTGCCCGCTCCGACCGGCTTTAAAGGGTTAATATAAATACAATCTCTGTCTTGTTTTGGATATGGCGATAAAGTTCTACATGAGTTAGATTTTTGACTAATGGTATGAGTCAGATTTTAAAGTAGCATGAGTGAAGCCTGACCTGAGAATTTCCAATACACATTGTTGACTTCTCACTCCATCACACAGAAGCTTCACTCCTGAATCCCGCAGATTGTTGTTACTCAGGCCCAGTTCTCTCAGACCAGATGACTGAAAGCTGAGAACTGAGGACAGAGTTTCACAGATCTTTTCTGAGAGGTTACAGCCACACATTCTGAAAATATATTAACAAGACGACAAAAGACACTGGTGTTAAAGTGTGTTTAAGCTGCAGTGAATACTTAATATTTGGCAATATTAAGTTTTCTTTGATAAATGGCTATATGAATTGTATTTTTTTTATACCATATGCACTTATACAACCTCATAACATCTGACTTGTTTGTATGGACAGCTTGCATGTTTTGGAAGGAACTATGAAAGCTGAAATGTATATAAAGACTTTAGAGCAACATATGCTTACCTCCGGATGACATCTATTTCAGGGAAGTATTCACCAGGGCAATGCAAAACCACATACTGCAACTATTACAACAGAATGGCTTCGTCCTTCATTGACATTGTGAGGAACCTTGGAGTCATTTTTGACCAGGATTTCTCCTAAATTGGCTTCCCTTCATAGGCTCGCTCTTAAATCCAGAATTGAATTCAATATCCTGCTCCTCACATTCAAAGTCTTAAGGAATCAGGCCCTTTCTTATCTTGATGACTTTATAATACCATATCACCCCATTAGAGCAATTCGCTCTCACTCTGCAGGCTTATTTGTTGTTACTAGAGTATTGAAAGTAGAATGTGAGGCAGACCCTTCAGTTTTCAGGCTCTTCGGTGAAACCACCTTCCAGTTTGGATTCAGGAGACAGACACTACCTCTACTTTTAAGATTAGGTTTCAAATTTTCCTTTTTGCTAAAGCATATAGTAAGGACTGGATCAGGTGACCCTGAATCCTCCCTTAGTTATGCTACAATAGTTGTAGGCTGCCGGGGGAGTCCCAAGGACTCAACATGAAACCCAACATGAAACCCAAGGCACAAAACATGCAATCTTGAGTTTGTTCAAAGGTCATAACTGCATTTACTTTCAGAATAGAAATTATGTTGTGTGTTCAAAGAGCACATGCTTTTGCTCGTGACACATAAGTACACCAAAGTGCTTGCTCATATGAGGTCATATAAGTGTTGGATTTTTTTTCTGTATGTATTATTGTAGGGTCTACCTTACAATGTAAAATGCCTCAAGGTGACTGATGTTGTGATTCGGTGCTGTATACATTGATAAACTGAACTGAATCAAATCGAACATATATTATTGTGCAATGGGAGAGTGTTTAAATTTAACATTAAAATTAACAACTGCATTGATTTAGTAATAGAAAGGTTGGACACTTGCGGGACAGTCACTGAATCTGTTGTTGCATTTGGAGTATCCATCTCACAGTGCAATATTATAAAAGCAGTCAGACAAATATACAAATATTAGCTGCAATTCCTGCCAAAAGTAACCGTGTTTGACTGTGATCATTGCTGCTATGACTGTTACTGACAGTAATTGGCATGCACCGGACAGTAGTGTTTCACTGATATTTCTCGCACATTAAATTATGGCAGAAGGCATAAGCACATAAATTGTTGTTGCATTACATGAAAAACATTGCAAAAATGACCACAACCTCTTTGCATCAGAGTCAGGCAAATAATTGGACAGAACTTGAACACCAAAACACCACAACCTTGATGCCCAGTCGTCTTCAAACTGTTTTGGAAAGAAGAGGAGCTGCGACACCATGGTAAACATGGTGTTTGTCCCAGCAATTTGAGACCTGCAGCAAGCATCACAATTGAAAATTAGCTCATTTTGTGCAGGAAATTGTAAATATCTTACTTTAAACATCTGTTCTGTTATTTAAGTTCTGTCATGAGTGAAATATTTTCTTATGTGAGTTGAAAGTCTTGGTTTTGCTAATTTTATTTATATTTTAAAGAACTGACACACAGATGAAATACTAAATTAGCCTTCTTAGTTGGTATTTTTATCAGCTATCAGAAGAAAAAATATATCACTTGACCTCACCTGACAGTTTGCAGTGCACAGTCTGGCCTCTCTAGTCCAGCCAACAAAGGCTTTGCTCCTAAATCCTTCAAGTCATTGTTACTCAGGTCCAATTCCATCAGAGTGGAGTTCTGGAAGCTGAGAACTGAGGACAGAGCATCACAGCTTCTCTCTAAGATGTTACAGCCACTCAGCCTGAATAATTATGAACAAAAATACAAAGTCTATCAAAGTGTTCAAATACATTTTTGTACAGTGAGGAATTGCTAGTGTGGATGTTATTTTGTGTTGTTCCAAGATGGGTATTAGTCATGATTACTCTGTGTGGAAAAGGGTACAAATATTGCAAACTACTGTGACTTGGACTGAAGTGGTCAGAATATAAAACATAACAACATATGATTGATGTTTGTCTAGTTGGCTAAAATTAAACTTGATTGTTAGCTGACCAGAGTTTTTCTAGTTTGCAGTGTTGGCTCTTCATTCCAGTAGAAAGAAGTTTCACGCCAGAATCCCGCAGATTGTTGTTACTCAGGTCCAGCTCACTCAGATTAGACAACTGTTTTCTGAGAACTGAGGACAGAGCTTCACAGCTTTTCTCTGAGAGGTTACAGCCACTTATACTGAAATAATTATGAAAAAGGAGACAAGGCTGGTGTTAATGTTTTTTTTCTAGATGCAGTGAGGAGTTACTCATTATTTAGTTAGTCCATCCAGGTTGACTGGATGGAATTATTACATCTTTATAGTCATTTGGAATAAGTAAATAACAAACAAAAAAATAAGTTGCTTTGATGTCAATTGAAATCCCCAAAATACGGATATCCAAAATATGGAAAATATAATTTAACACAGAGTATCCCTTAATCTCACCTGAGTTTTACCAGTGTAGAATGTTGACTCTTCAATCTAGCAAACATAATTTTCACTCCTGAATCCTGCAAGTCATTGTTGCTCAGGTCTAGCTCTTTCAGACTAGGCGGCTGGCAGTCGATAACTGTGTACAAAGTTTCACAGCTTTTCTCAGAGAGGTCACAACCACTCAGTCTGAAAATGGTGAGTAAGAAAGACAGATACATTGGTTTTAAAGTAAGTCCATGGAGAAACACAATATTTGTTTTGAATATTTCATCACTTGATTAAAATCCCATTGCTTAATGTTAAACAAGTCACCTAATTAGCTTCAATTCTTTTTGGTTTGTACTGTCATTTGAAAAGAAAAGAAAAAACATTTTATCACTTGATCTGACCGGAGGCTTTCCAGCTTAACGTGAGGACTCTTCATTCCACCACACAGAAGCTTAACTCCTGAATCCTGCAAGTTGTTGTTGCTCAGGTCCACTTCTCTCAGATTACAAGACTGGGAGCTGAGAACTGAGGACAGAGCTTCGCAGCTTCTCTCTGAGAGGTTACAGCTACTTAGTCTGAAAATTTATGAAAAAGAACAAAAACACACAGTCTTCACTTTTAGTCTTCATTTGATTTGTATTGTTTTTCCCTGCTCCTGTTTGCAGAAACCACACCATGTGCTACCTTCTTCTACCATCAAACTAAATGTAAAAAAAAAAGGTCTTTTACAACACTGGAGTACAATCCAGCCTTAACCTGACATACACCTTTGTCTGAAGGACATCTTGTATGACATGACCATGCTTTAGAGATTCACAGAATTATATTTTTAAAAAGTAAACATATGAGCAGTTATTTACTTACAGAGCTTTGTTCGAGGCTTTGACCACTGGCAGCAGCCTCAGAAGAGTCTCCTCTGAAGCAGAGTATTTCTTCAGGTCAAACACATCCAAATCTTTTTCTGATGACAGTAAGATGAAGACCAGAGCTGACCACTGAGAAGGAGACAGTTTATCTGTGGAGAGATTTCCTGATCTCAGGGACTGTTGGATCTCCTCAATTAGAGAACAATCATTCAGTTCATTCAGGCAGTGGAACAGATTGATGCTTTTTTCTAAGGACAGATTGTTTTTGATCTTCTTCTTGATATACTTGACTGTTTTCTGATTGTTCCGTGAGCAACATCCCGTCCATGTCAGAAGGTCTCGTAGGAGAGATTTATTGGCCTGCACGGAAAGACCCAGGAGGAAGCGAAGGAAGAGGTCCAGGTGCCCATTTGGACTCTCTAAGGCCTTATCCACAGCACTCCTGTGGAGATATTTTGAATTATTTTTCTTCCTAAATAATTTAGACCACTTGGATGCTGTTTGTTTGTCTTCTACCAGGTTGATGCCAGAGTTAATGAAGGTTAGGTTGACATAAAGAGCAGCCAGAAACTCCTGAACACTCAGATGGATGAAACAGAACACTTTGTTCTGATACAGTCCTCTCTCCTCTTTCAAGATCTGTGTGAACACTCCTGAGTACATTGAGGCTTCTCTGTTAGCGATACCACACTCTGTCAGGTCTGATTCATAGAAGATCAGGTTTCCTTTCTGCAGCTGATCAAAAGCTAGTTTTCCCAGAGATTCAATCATCTTCCTGCTCTCTGGACTCCAGTGTGGATCTGTCTCAGCTCCCCCATCATACTTGACATTCTTCACTTTGGCCTGCACCACCAGGAAGTGGGTATACATCTCAGTTAGGGTCTTGGGCAGCTGGCCTCCCTCTCTGATTTGCAGCGCATCCTCCAGAACTGTAGCAGTGATCCAGCAGAAGACTGGGATGTGGCACATGATGTGGAGGCTTCGTGATGTCTTGATGTGGGAGATGATCCTGCTGGCCTGCTCCTCATCTCTTAATCTCTTCCTGAAGTACTCTTCCTTCTGTGAGTCAGTGAACCCTCTGATCTCTGTCACTCTGCCAACACACCCAGGAGGGATTTGATTAGCTGCTGCAGGTCGTGTGGTTATCCAGAGACAAGCAGAGGGAAGCAGTTTCCCCCTGATGAGGTTTATCAGCAGCACATCCACTGAAGTTGACTTTCTAGGGTCAGTTAGGATTGTAGTTTTGTGGAAGTCCAGAGGAAGTCGACACTCATCCAGACCATCAAAGATGAACACAACCTGGAAGTCTTCAAAGCTG